TGTTATCACCACACTGACTTTGCAGTTACACATGAATTTCAGAAGGCATTAGGCCTGGATTTGGGCACGAAGGGTGGAAAACTGCTCATTTCCCGTGGCTTCTTCTCCCCTGTGTCTAACAAACCTTTCCCAATCACTTCAGGCTTCTGGGATGGAGAGGTGGTGGTGGTGGTGGTGTGGAAAGAAAAAAGCACCTGCAGTTTTAAATAGCAGATGTAATCTACAGTAAACATTGCCAAAGAGAGACAGCCTTTTATGAACGAGACTATGGTGAAACAGAGCCTGTGCTGTGGAACAAAAGAATCCCAGCCACTTATTTTTGTACCCTCCAAATTGATGGGGCAGATTTGTATTAGACCAGCAGGATCATCCCCCCAAACTTTGCACTGGTGAGGCCACACCTCAAATCCTATGTTTAGTTTGGGGTCCCTCACAAAAAGAAAGACATTGAGGTGCTCAAGCATGTCCAGGGAAAGGAAAGGAGCTAGTGAAGGGGCTGGAGGACAAGTGTGATGACAACCAGGGAGGGAGCTGTGGAGAAAAGGAGACTTGGGAGGAAAGGTATCACTCTCTACAACCACCTGAAAGATTGCAGTCAGCTCGGGGTCAGTCTCGTCTCCCATGTAATAAGCAATAGGAAAAGATAAAATGGCCTCAAATTCTGCTAGGAGGGGTTTAGATCGGATATTATTTTTTTTCTTTTCACCAAAAGTGTAGTCAAGCATTGGAACAAGCTGCACGGAGAAGTAGTGGAATCACCAGCCCTGGAGATATTTAAAAGCCATGTATGTGGCTTATGGACATAGCTTAGGGGTGGACTGGGCAGAGCTGGGTTAACAGTTGACTCAATGATGGTAGAGGTCTTTTCCAATCTAAATGATTCTATGACATGATTTAATGACAAGTCTTCTCAGCAGTAAGCTTCAGGCAAGTGAGCTTCTTGGAAAGAAATTTTAGAACAACATTAATATACCCTCACTGTTTCATGCCTGATATATTTTGACTGGCAAATATATTAATGACATTTATTTGACCAGTGTGTTTGTGGTGGTTGAAGGGACGGCGGTTGTAACAGAGAGAAATATGATTTGTGTAGTTGAGGGCAATGGCAGAACATTGCACCTACCAGTTTTCAGCTGGAGTGGCTGATGTTGGTCTTCAAGTTTTTAGCTTTTATTGCACTCCAATCCCCACCTTCTTCAGTATGCATAAACTGGTGGCATAACTGCCATGAAAGAAGAGGAAAATGGAAAAGGAAAACCTTTATTTATCTCCAGATGGAAAGCTTTCCCTAGCTGTGCAAGAGGCACCTGCTCCATGAGGCACTCAGTGGCTGTATTGTGGTCTGCAAGGCATCCAGAAAAGTCCTGGTGCTTCTGTGTAACCAATAAAGGGAAAACCTTAACATAAGTTTTGCCTAATCATCATTTTTCAAAGACAGTAAAGCATTCACAGAGATGGAAAGTTGGAACGTTGGCTAGTTGGATGGGAACAAATACATGCAAAAGTGAAAATATTCAATGGCTCTTTAGAAACATTTTTGGAGTTAAAAAGACTGAGTCTGCAAATGCAGACTGGAAATTAAGTATTTGTGTTGGTAATTGTAATTTAACATCTTCAAAAAAACAACCTTCACATGCCAAGGCAGTGCCAGTAATGTATGGAGATGGATGCATTGCTTTCTTTTAAGGGAAAGAGTAATAGGAATTAATTGCTTCCAAATTGGGTCCCAAATACATTTTTTCAGTTTGCTTTCACATTCTTGCCTTGTTTATTTTTCTGTTTGCTTTGTGGAATACATACATTTTTGGTTGTCATAGCTGTCTTTTGTTTTTTTATTAATTTTTTGTATGAACTAATATATACCTCCCACCTCCCCATTTAAATACATTATTTGAAACCAGGAGCTTGAAAATTCTAAATTATTTTCAAGGTTTGATAGATTGCATTTCTGCCAGATAATCAGGTTCCTTTCATAAATACTGTTTACAAATGGCTTTATTTATTTATTAATTCCAGAGGTTGTGTAAATCTTTATTGCCTTTATCCAAAGATAATAATTACTTACCTGCAGGTATTTTATATAAAGGACATACCTTACTCTTTGTCTCAGTCATTAGTCTGCAAGTAGTGACTCCTAAAAAAGAGCAGGATGAACATTTTGCCTGTGCTGAGTGTTTAGATTATTGCTTGAGAAACCACATTTCAACATAGTACCTTAACACTAAGTTTCTTAATTATTTTTGATTCTTTTTTTTCTTTTAGAAAAAGTACACATTAAGTACATACTGGATGAAAGAAAGTATTTTATATTGTATGCATTTAGAATTTGCTTTGTTTTTATTAAATGGAGAAAATAATGAATTAATTTGTTTCAAGTGTCTAAATAATACAGTTATAGGCTTTTAATGAGTGAAATCTGTTATTAACAAGCTGTGTATATAAGTACACATATAAATCCCAGTCAAGGTGGAAAAAAAAAGAGACAAAAGTAATTTAGTTTGGACTTTAGGAAGAAAAGTACATATACCAAGAATAGAGATTTCTTTTTCCCCCAGTCAAAAGGGGAACATATTGAAGTATTCTAAGCATAACGGTGTAAGAAGTCTTGTTTGGTAATAGGAGCATGCCAGTGTGTGCAAGGCTGGGTCTCTGTTTCTACTATATAATGTTTTTACTATATTTTGCAATATAGAGGTGGAAAAGACCTTATCCATGTGGAAGAAAAACCAAACTGCCTTTAAGATGACATAACAGCAAAATCTGAATCATAAATGCTGTGTTTGCATTTGTTGTGTTTCTGTAAAAGAAAGAATTTTAAAAGAGGTGTATCAGAGTATTTAATGAAAATCTCTGCCTACAGAATATTTATGTGCCTTTTTACTGTCACAACATCATTTTGCTTAATCCTGTAGTGCAAGATCAGTGCACTGATTCTTTTTGGGCTTTACTCTGTTTATTCTGTCACTGTCATTCATATGAGGATGTACTATGGGGGTTTATGCCACACATCTCCATATGACTTCTAGTCTTTGCAAAAGGTTACTGCCACATAAATACCAGTTTTGCAGTAATTAGTAGGTAAAGGGCACTGCAAAATTTAAAATCCTAGGGTAACATAAAAAGAGCAAACATCTTAGGAAGCAAATTCTGCTTGCTACCCTAAGGTGACAGTATAAGACTACAACCTAGACCAGTATTCCCAGTGGAGTCAGACATAACCAAAAATAACAATGTTTTCCTGGTTCTGTGAGCTGGAGCTCTGCACACATGCAAGGGGAGATAAAAGCAGCAACTCAGAGCAGGCCTGAGATGTGTGTGCAGTGGGGCAGACTGAAATGTAGCTTAGAAATGTAGATAAATTACTGCTAAAGTCAGTGAGATGTGCAAGTAAATAAATACCGTGCAGCCTGCATATGGTTGTATTAGATACAATGGAAAAATGATTTGTATAGGAGCTATAAATCTGTTGATTTGTAAGATCTATAAGTAGCACAAGGGGATGTCTTGACTTTTTGAAAAACCTAACTGACAAAGAAATATAAGTGTTAGAAATGAAAACTGGACCTGGCAGCAAATTAGCTTCTAGGGTAAATGAGCACACAGTGAACTTCAGTTCATTCCTGATGTACATTAATTCCTCTGCACTCATATAAGGAAAAAAAAATCTGAGTGAGGTTTACCTCTTTGTCATTCACTCTTTTTCCCTAGGGTTACTCTTCTGAAATTAGTCTGTGAGATATTATTTAAAGTCACAAATCCAATAGCATCCTAATTTATATTAGGATATATATATATATAAAATATATATAATGAATTAGCTTGCATTTTATTGTATCTCTGTTTGAATCCTGAGTAAAAAGTGCATTACTTTAATACACATCTCAGATGAATTACATTAAATTAGAAACTAAATCATATTAATTAAAAAGGACAAAGCCTGCTACTAAGAAAAATTGACTGCCTAAACTGAAAATCATAATCATGTTATTTTTGAGAAGAGATAACAAGTAGACAGAAAAAACCATCTTGCAGTTTGGAGTGTGTCCAAATTCTTAGTGTAAATAATAGTATTTACACTATATACCAAGTATGTAATACCAAACTATTATTATTAATAATAAATTAATAAATCTGTTATAACACTAAAACTCTATGTTGGTAACTCCTGTCACAGGGAAAAATTTGCAGAGTGAAAAATGTACGGAAAATATGATGCAAGTACATAGCTTTTTTGGTCATCACGCTCTTCACAATATTCACGTTATCCACTTCACTGGGTAATGAATCTCTCTGCTAAACCAACCTTCTCTACTGACTTTCCTTCCCCCTCTCCCCCCAAGAAAGCTTAGACACAAACAATGACTACTATATAGAATTTCTAAGCACTTACAAGGGGTGTACACAGTCCAAGGAAGGTTGTCATCTGAGAAAATAGGATCCTCTTGGCATTGTCTTTCCTTATGAAAGAATGTTAATGGCATGTTGGAGACTGCCAGCAGTACCTCCCCAAGGTAAGGCAGTTTTCAAGGAGGAATGACTCTACACAGACATGAATGACTCTGTCCAAGCCACATCATTAAAAATGTAATGGTTATGGAGACCATATGTTTTCCTTGTTACAGAGGTAGTCATTAAATTCTGCCTTTTCCAGTTATAAATTGATCTTGTAGCCAGGATGACAACTCAGTGAAGAAAATAAAATAGGTAGTTTTAGTCTTCTTTTACACATATGTTCTAATAACAGCTTTTTAAAGAAGCATGCAGCAGAGTCAGGGTTTTTTGCCAATTTCACATATTATAGGAATGAAATACAGACCCACAAAATGAACAATTTTTTGCTAATGGCTCACCAAAAAAAAATATCTAGGTAATACAGAACAAATTCCCCAATGAACTGCAAGTTAAAATACATTTTAAAATGCAGAAAAATTACAGACTTTGAATCCACAGGCTTACTTCAGGAACAGTGGCTGTGAAATGCACTTCACTCACAACACTTTAGTGTTAGCTGAAAACTTCTTTAATAATCACAAAATTGATATTCAAGAAGCATGAGCAAGAAACCAGTAAAGCAACATGAAGACCATCTAAATAAACAGTAATAGACACATCCAATAGACTTTCTCCACAAAATACACATTTCCTAGACAAGATTATAGCCATTGCTCTGTAGCTTACAAGGCTGTTTCTAGTGACTAAGCCTGGCATATTTTTTGCTTATGAGGTTTACATCTTGCCAAACTGCATCTGAGTACATGACAACCCACAGGAGCAACAATTTAGCTTTGGACAATTCATACACCCCAGCTTGGCACACATAAGGGTTTTTTAAAGGCTCACGAGGTTTTTGAAATCTTCACTTGACTTCTCTGCGTGAGGATGGTCCTGGGTAAGTCAACCTGTGAAAGTGGAAGTTGCAGTTTTAAAATCCAGTTTGCACGCTCACCTCTGAATTCCTAGCCAAGAACTTGGCACCACGCAAGTACACTTTTCTTTGTCAAGCTTTTGTTAAAGGTTTTGTGCATGCTCTGAGTTTGTTCTGTGTGTTATCAGTGGATGTGAGAGTATCCACATCACAGCACTGCCTTCAAAAGTGAGCTACCTGGAGAGGAGTGGAGGTGAGTCCCATAGTGCCTTGGTTTGACTCTAATCATAGAATGCTTTGAGTTGGAAGGAACCTTAAAGATCATCTCATTTCAATCCACCTGCCATGGGTAGAGACACCCTCCCCTAGACCAGCTTGCTCAGAGCTCCATCTAGCCTGGCCTTGAAAACTTTCAAGGATGGAGCATCCACACAGCATCTTCTCTGGGCAATCTGTTTCTCTTTATGAAAAACTTAATACTCAAGTAAGATCTCTATGACTGTTCCAGCTGCAGCATTTTTTTTTTCCAGAAAGTAGTCTTTTGCTCTTCAGTACCATCAACTCTTTAATAAATTCAGAAATAAGACATGTTTTGGAAATGATCAGTAAACTAAAAATAATACCCCACTGTCAGCTTAACTTTAGCTCAAACTTCTGCATCCTGCAAAAGGAAAAATAATCTAATACCAATGCAATATTTTAACGTAACAGAAGAACATAATGGAGATGATTGCTGCTACAATCATCCTTTTAAAGCTCTCTGCTTAAAAATAATTACCAAATTTTCAATGATAAAAGGGCCTTTTCTATTTAAAATAGGCTGATCTGGGGGATCTTCAAACCTTCCACACAAATAATTATTTACCAGATAAAAAGCAACAACCGGACATTTATAAGATTGCAAAGAGTATTGCAAATATATGGTTTTCATAAATAGAATTTAACAATTAAACTGCTGAATATGACTAAGCACACAGTTCTTGCAGGCAGCTCTATAAAAACCATTTAATTTATCAACTCTGATTCAAAAATTATGTATTTGACATTTGCTTAGGTCAGCCAAATTTATGTAAATCAAGCTCTAATAGATTTAAATGTCCTAAAAGATTTTTGTACTGGCTTCATCAAACCCACATAAGATTGACCATTTTTATTAAATATAAAACTTATACATGGACCAGACTCAGATATCTTCATTTTCTCCTTGAAAGGACCATTTAAAGCCTTCCAAAATCAATGCTACTGAAACAAAATCATAATTCTGCCATATTTCAAATATAAAAGTGTTTATATTTTTTTGAAACATAAAAACTGTCAATAAGTCATATTTATCATATGAAACATTAGTGTGGATTGTAAAGTACCACAGTCTTGTTTCATTAGATGACAATTTACAGGGCACTGAGTGGAATGAGTTATATTATAAATAACCACACATCTCCTGCTTTGAAAAGTAAACATTCTGCAAACATTTACTCTTTTGGTATGCTGCATACACTGGAATAGTTTCAGCTTGACCAAACATTAGCTACTGCAAATAGAATAGTCAAGCTGCTTAAGGCATATTCAAGAAGCTGTATTTTACACTACTACTTCTGTTTTTCTATTAGGATTTGACTACTGCTTTCGTATACATAAAAATATAGCATGGTCATGCCATTTTTGTTTATTTACTGATGTTTACAATTAATGTTATAGCAAACGACTCAAAAGTGGGTAAACAGAGACTAAAACTTTCTTTAAGAAGCCTCTGGCCACAAATGGAACTGCATTACATCTCTGGGGGAGCCTGGTCTCAGGCACTTCTGGAGCTTGGTCCAGCTCAGAAATGCTGTTATGAGCATTTGTGTGCACACTATAAATAATTAGTGAGCACACAAGACTCAGTGACTCGGCTCGCTCTTGTGAGTTGTGCCATCTGTTCCAAGTGGCAAGGAAAGTATCACAATTAAATTGATTTGTAAAGAGCTAGAACTTGTCATATACTTTCTAACTTGAGAACAGAAAAATAACAGAGTGGTTCCACCAGAGTCAACAATTAAAATGTTTCCTTTTTTTCAAAAGATCTTTAAAAGACAGTGAGGACTTAAAAATGCAAAGTGACATCTGAAGTATCTTGCTAGTAGGCTACACTTCACTGCCTTCAGCAAAATGAGCTGTCTGGTTCTGTAAGTACCTACCTTCACAAGACTTTCCTGGTGCCTTCAGCACTCTAGTCCAAGCTGACTTATGTTGACCCACTGCACTGCTGAGTAACTTACCCACTGAATGATTTGTGGACTGAAGTGTAACTAAATGGGAGCAGGTTTAACAAGAACAGATCTCAAAAGTACATCAGCTTCCAGTGCAATAAGCACTTACAACAGCTTAAAAAAGAAAAGTCTGCCCTAAAAGTCCTTTTGTATTGTTGCTTTTAATGAAATTTGCTTACCTCATGAGTTCGTAAATTTTTATTTGTTTTTACTGAAAAGCAAGTTATTTCACTTGGCAGGGGCTACAAACTCAATTTTTTGCTGAAAAGACACATTTCAACAGAACGTTTTAAAATCAACAGCCTCTTGAAAACTAATAACAAAAATGTACTTTAACATTGTTTTCAAATATTTATTACAACAACCTAAAAACTTTTTTCAAAACAGGTATTCTGCCTGCAGTGTCTGTAACCTAATAGCCACATTACCCCAAATTGTCAGTTAAATAGCAGTAAGTCTAAAAACCCAAATAATCCCCACCCTCCATCCCACCAGGCACTTTTGCTATTGTCTAGGACCACAAAGTTTTATTAATAACTTAGCTAGCAAAAGTACAAAGTCACCAACAAGAAAAGTCAATGTGCTTGCACAGACAAAACCTTTTCGTCTGCTTTAGAAACATGCTCCTGGCTCTCAAATCTGGGATCCAAAACTCTAATCACCACTAGGGCTCATTCTTTTTGCTATAAAAATCTCCACCAGCATTCTCAGGATCTGACATAAGCCTTTTTGGCTGCTTTTTTAGGGTTATGATAGCTTAGAGTCACAGATAAGCAAGCCTGGAAGTACAAATCCTGCCAGAATAGTTCCCATCTTTCCAAAAACCAAATGAAAATCACAGCTTAATGTAGTGGAACAATTTTTAACAAGCATATAATACATATCATTAGAAAGGAAGTTACTAGAGGGCCAGAGGTTTCACCCTGAAGGATTAACAACAAAAGCAATTTAAGTATTTGCTACACAGGAGTCTGGAAGGAGCTGGCCAGCACCTCACTTCAGCTACACTTAGGGCAGGTGAGCCACAGCAGAACAGGTGATACAAAAACAAACAATAGGGTATCAGAGATGAGAAAGCTTACTTCACTTTGCAACCAAAGACGAATGATATAACAGAGATTTTTGAATATGGGATATTAGCTTAAACATACCTCGAACTTCCTGGTTTATAGAATTGTGCTATTTGTTTAGAAGGTAAAATAAATAAGGTTTTTCCATGAAGAAGAATGTATTTTGGCTGAGTTACTATCCCTGGAAATGTTCAAAAACGAGTAGATGTGGCACTTCTCAATACGGTTTAATGGGCGTGGTGATATTCAGTCAAAGGTTTGGACTCGATCTCGGAGCTCTTTTCCGACCTTAATAATTCTAGGATTTGTCCAAGGAGGTGCTCCTTCCAGGCAGACGCCAGGGCTGTGCCTTCCAGGGGGCCGGCGGCAGGGCTGGGGGGTCTCTTGAAGCCGGGGGGAGTCCGTGTTCAGCTGGGCCGGGGGCTCCGGGCTCAGGCGCGGAGATAATCATTCTTGAGGCGGCTGAGGCGGGCGCCGTGGCTGCGGACGGTGAGGGCCAGCAGGTCGTACTTGTCGCGCAGCCCGCTGGAGACGTGGCGGGTCTCTCGGAGCAGGGCGCGGGCGTGCAGCAGCAGCCCCAGGAAGCTGTCGCCCAGACGCGACTCCTCCCGGCCGCCCTGCTCCTGCCCCTGACGGAATTTACCCTCCAGCTCGCTCAGCGAGCGGTCCGAGCTGGAGTAAGCGTCGCTGATCTGGGCGGACTCGCGGCGCAGGTAGGCACCGTAGCTC